GACCGTGCACACCCCATGCTGAGGCTGATGTTGCATCCATGATGCTTCATCGCAGTTGGGCTAAATCAACTTGCACTTCAAATAGGTCTTTTAATGTGGATAAAATTCATTCCACTTTATTTGCTTTGTTCTGCGTACTTGATAATCTTCTCCTAACTTGCACACGTCTCTCATGCTAATTGTGGTAAACTTGATCACGTGATAATTTTTCGATAAGTTTCGGACGTTTTGCACTTACCGCGGATTCGCTTATAACCAATTTACTCCATATGTTCATTTAGCGAGCATTTATGTCGTCATATACGTTTACTTTATTAGATATCTTTTATATGATATTGGCATTTCCAATGATTGGCTGTTGATTGACATCCCAGATGTGGCTGCGCTTGATGTGCATGTTGTCAGGGTGCCTACCTGTCTATTACCCGCGACCTCGTCCATACTGGCTCCAGGAGACAAGTGGTCGTTACTGGAGGGGACGAGGTGCACGGTCCTTGTGGTCATGCTAGGTTCGAAGAGTGGTTCCATGTAGTCAGTGTGGAGCGGACTACGGTCCGCTTGTGCGCTTGATTCCCCAACTACAGTGGGCTTGTGTGGGCCGGCTCCGTTGATGAAATGTGGCTCCTATCCGCATACTTCCCGGTCTTATTCTTTCGGGTTTACACTAGATATGGGGTGTGTAGATGGAGCTGTGGGTGGTGCAGCGCAAGCCATCCATGGTCCCTCTGTAGGCGCAGGTGTCCTGTGGCTGGCCACAGTGACAGACGAATCCGAAACCGGATGCCGCCAACCATATATATATATATATATATATATATATATATATATATATATATATATATATATATATATATATATATGCAGCAGTCTATACAATAGACATCGAATGAAAATGCATGATAAGTACAAAACGGAAAATATACAAAGAGAATTTTTTGTGTTTTTCATACGCCGTTGTGTCATATTTTTGTCAGTATGGTGATGACATTGTTGTAGTAGAGTCAGTGAAAAGACTCATGGATGCCTTGCATTGCCCGCGATTACGCGCCCTATCCTCAAGAGTCTCCAACCAGCGATTTCTTCATCTCAGACTCCCCAGCGCGGAAGATGTAGGGGACCGATAACAGCTAGACTGGAAGCCAACACCTTGACATTTTGTCAACAACTGGTTGGTTGGCCAAAGCGCGATTTCTTCCGGTGCGACCGTGGGGAGCAAAGAGAGCGCGCCGTGATAAACGCTCGCAGAGCACGCGAAGGACGTGACCTAGCCACCTCAGTTGGCGTAGCGATATTAGCTTGTCGAGAGATAGGCCCGTATAATTTAAGACGATGTCCAACATCGAGGTTGTAAACGTGGTAGCTTCAATCACCAGGCGGTTTAGAACGACTTGCATGATCTGTGGGTCGTCACCGAGCAGGGTGATATCATTAGTATAATCCAAGTCAGTCGCGTGGTTGCCTGGAAGAAGCTCCTTGCCAGTACTCTAGCTGGCTTGATGAATAACCTCGTAGTGTCAGCTGGGTAGTCTGGACATACCCCGTTTCTACCAATGATTCGGCGGCAGTGTTTCAGGACGTGGTGGGTTTTTGCCTGTCAAGCGATCCTAGGAAGCTACAAATGTCTATTAAACAACACTGTGACGTGGCGGATGAGTCACCATTGAATAAAGTCACTAAAGTCCAGCCACGAAGTAAACAGCCTCATCAGAACCAGGGCAATAATGAGCTGGACGCTGCGACTCAGACAAACCTCGAAGAACCCATTTCGGTGAATGAGCAAGGACATCACCTGACAGTGGTAGAGTATCCTATCCAAGTTCCATCACGTCGGAATATCTGCAAAGCCCAGGTTAAAGCTACGTTCACCGCAAAGTGTCTGTCTACAGCAGCCTCATGTAGAGGAATGCAAAACTCCGTTCCTTTTCTAAGATATTTGCGTGGGTCACTACAACATGCAGCGAACAGATTATTTCCGTCAACTAGCTCTCAATCCGTATACCTTTATGACTGAGAGAGTGGTTGGTGATGAAAATCGATTCAGCGTCGAATTAAAAATCCGAGATACGGCAAAGGCAGATCACGTGGTAGTGCAATCGAGGTCACATCTAACAGCGAGGTATGAAAGTGCTCTCGGTTTCAGCGGGAATTTGTAAAATGGTGGCTTGAAAATCGGATAATTCGGAAAACAAATGCTGCGAGAACCAGTAAGCATGCAAATGACGCCGGTGACGAAGACCAGCTACAAAGTATAACGGAAGAAGGATTTATAACGGATTATATATATATATATATTTGCAACAGTCTATGAATAGACATTGCACCATCGGAAACCATGGAACTCAAAACAAGGTACAGAAATAGTAAAAGAAAACACAACACAACACATCAAAGTCTACGGTTTCGTCAGAGGGCGAAATACTACCCGGTTGCCCAAGCCGAAGTAGGGTGTTGACTTAGGGGACACCACCCCGAGCCTTTGGCTGAATAGCCTGTCCGTAAGGCAGCGGAGCGAATTCAGGGAATCGCGCCCATTGGGAGCCGGTGACTGATTGATCAGTTCATACGCCTTTCGTTTGTTCCTTTGCCAAACAGAGGCCCAATGCTCCCCGAAATTACAGCATCAACTTGCTGGAATACAATGCTTCGCCAGGATGAAGCAAGGGGCAGTGACTTTATTTAGTGGCGAGTCACGTCCGCCACGTCACAGTGTTGTTAAACGGACATATGTGGCTTTTTATAGGGAGAACGCTTGCCAGGCGAAAACCCACCACGTCCTGGAACACTGCCGCCGAACCATTTGCTGGAACGGGAAAATCCCGAACCACCCAGCTGGCACCACGAGGTTGTTCGGCAAGCGCTTTCCAAGTTCCGTTGAATAGCCTGTTGTGTTTTCATAAAGGTTGTAGTATAAAACAGATGGTGCAAGAAACCACACTTTTGTTTGCGAAGCAAGGCTGCTGCTCCTGCACAATGTTTTAGAGCACGGAGAGCTGGGGCCTTCACGACGAAAGACACAGGCATATTATCTATACCAAGAGCCAGTTGTCGTAATTCCCTCTAATAAATGAATGCATATGAAGTGGTGGCGAGTAAATCTCGAGGTAGCGCATCCAGGGATTGATGATCAGAGGTATTGTTAGGCCATTGAGTAAAAAGCTGCGAAAAGCTTCTTTTCCTTTTCGAGAACAATCTGGATGTGCACTCGCTCAAAGGCACGTTGCCGGATTCGGACAAAGATGTTGAGTGCCGAGCTGCAGAACAACCGCAATGTCTATGGTTTCATGAAGTGTCTGTGGTGCACGGGTTACGGCTGTCTGTACACACGCCGCCGAGTGAAGTATGAGGGCGACTGAATGACGGCTATTTACTGAATCTCTCACAACAGATGGAGTACGGATTAAAACCTATCCAGTTCAGCTAACGGTAGGCGCCATCTAGTGCAAACCGCAAAATGCTTGACACAGCCGGAGAGTAGATAGATGTCATGGAATTGATTTTTCCTCCTGTGTAAGATTAACCCTGCTAAATCAGTTGCTGTACAGCTATAAAGCCTGGAATAAGCATCTTCAGGATAATCGCAAGCATACACCTCCATAAAAGTGCACTCTCGTGGAATGGGACTCATAAGTAGCAGTAGAAGAAAAAGGGAGAGCTGACAGGAAAGTGCGGTCAAAGTTACACGCACCATGAGGTTCCAATTTGAGCATATTACACCCTGAGACCTTTCGTTGCGCTTTCACGAACCTGTTGTAAACAAGAAGTGTCAACCTGACTGCGCGCAGGCCGCATGCGGCCCTTTACAGACATACCAGTGGTCTGCCATGAGGGATGCGATAAATAGAAAATAAACAAGTGATTGTTCTCGAGTTAAATATATATATATATATATGTATATATATATATATATATATATATAACACCTACTTAGGTGTGCCTCGTTATACTCGGGAAACATCATTTATTTATTGTTTATTTATCGTCTTCCTCTTGCAGACCACAGGTACGTGTGTAAAGGGCCACATGCGGCCTGCGCGCAGTCAGGTTGACACTTCTTGTTTACAACAAGTTCGTGAAAGCGTTACGAAAGGTCTCAGGGTGTAATATGCACAAATTTGTACCTCATGTTGTCTGTAACTCCGACCACACTTTCATGCCAACTCGCCCTTTTTCGGTTACTGATACTTGCGGCGTTACACTGGATGTGGGGTGTGTGGACGGACCTGTGGGGGCTTGTACTGCACTACCCGCAAGTCTATCCACATACCCCACATCCAGTGTAAACCAGAAGGAATAACGATGGGCACTATTTGGGTGGGAGCCACGTTTCATCAACGAAGCTGACTCACTCTTTCAATATGCACAACAGCAGCATTCGTGTCTCTCTAATTAGCGGATCATACGTACCAGAGGTACACAAGGCGGTGGCTGGGCCAGAGTCCGCTCCACACAAGATGGAACCACACTTCGAGCCTAGCACGGTCAACGACTAACTATCTCCTGGAATCAGTATAATCGAGGAAGAGGTTATTCGACAAGCAGATATCTTGTCAACATTTAAGTCAAGCACAGTAACACGCGGGATATCAAATAATAAACACATAATATGAAAAATGAACACGAAAGCTGGACAGTAAATGTGCAGCATAAAAGAGCAATTCAAAAAAGTTGATTGATTCTGATCTAGTGCAATGCTGACTTTGGCAAGTGTAAGTGCAAATCAGGGGAGGTAAACCGACTAAAGTCATGACAGAAAAGACGCGCAAAAGAAACAGTAAATATGCGGATTAGCGGATAAAATAAGATAGATGTAGTTAGATCTAACCCAACTGTGGTGAGAAAGCATAACTAATATAATAACCCTCAGTATGGTATATATATATAACTGCCTTAGATGCGGAAATCCAATGAACATTTTCTATATCGCCTGTACACATGGCGAGGAGTGAACAATATTTAAACGAAATTGAGAAATGAAGGAAAACTCGCAAATGAGTACTTACTCTGCCGAGTTCGCCATTGCACTGACATATTTCCCATTCTCTTCGCAAGCCCCGTTTTCATTTGTTCGTTTGGACTTGGTGGGCTTTATAGACTTAAGAACAAAGGGATCACTATTGCCTCCTTGACTAATGAAGCGTCTCGTATCCCTTTCAACAGATAAATCCAACGGGAGGAGTGTGTGAGTAAGGTGGCAGGGTACCGATGTAGATGCTGGCGAGGTGTTATCTAGTGTGACAGGTGTTTGGGAAATGGATGAGTAGCACACAGCCGCAGGAGGCAATGAATTGTGTATTCCGCTAATTCGAGACACGGTAGCAGAGACAGCAGACATGGATTTGTGACAACAAGTGGGAGTCACGTCAGCGGAGCACACCGCAGGATTCACAATCGGTAGGACTGGAGAATTCGCGCGAGACAAAACGAACGGATCATTTTTCACACTGGAATCAGGGGAAAGACATGGGCCAGAAAGGATATCTGGTAATGCGGTAGAGTGCACGCTAGCTGGAACCGCTTGTTCTAATTTAGGCATCTGTGGTAGTAGTGAAGTTGAGTCGGGTGTTGGAGACGTGGCATTTGACATAGTGAATCGTTCATGTGGCCGAATTAAATCTCTCTTCAAATTTACGTCTGCGTACGGGCATCCAGATACACGTTGGTGGGTGGAGTATCGAGGACCCTTGGCGTGTCCGTAACCTTTGCATCCACTAGTCGGGCAGTTCGTCAGTTGTATGGTGCTGACAGAGCTGGTTGAGGAGTTGGAGTGGGCGTCACCGATCGCTCCGTTGAGCTCAGTATCAGACTCGTCTGCAGAGGGAGGAAATGCAACCGATGCCGATCAGAAAGAAGAATGTAGACGGGCAATAAGTACAGGGTTGAAACTGAATAAAATACCTTCGCGCCGTTCAAAAGGGTCAAAAAAAAGTACGGTTATCAAAACTCAGTCCCTGAAGTAATCGTTGGCGATAAAAAATGAGTATTTCAGTAGTCTACCTGAGTACAGTGAGGAAACGCGGAAAGAGCTCGACGTACGCTTGTTGGGTAAAGTTGGAGTGTAGTTACTACGGTGCCCAAGCCCATGACGCATCCCGCCCCTTAAGTAACCTCCAGGGAACCGTAGTTGGAATTTGATAGAGTCTGCGTAAAAACTCCACCAAAATAAAAGTTATTCGCTTAGGAGCTGCGGAGTTCTGCATACAAGACAATGTTTGACAGAGATTCACCGGAAACAATTGAAAAGTCCTTTACATTCACTCGAGTTGGAACTCTCACGTAGATATGAATGGCCAGTATCTTGCACCATCTGGAGGATCACCAATCCCTGTCTGTGACAGTTATCATCGTTCCCTGACAAGCAGTACGTCGTCTTTTAGTGTTACCTGGCTACAGTTTAAACACGATTTTGTCTTGTGATTTCGCCTCTACAAAATGCGATGATTTAGCAGACCAATCGAGTGACGATTCCGTTCCATCACATGTTTCCTTGTAATCCAGACACCAATCCAGCCGAGGCGCTTGGTGTTAAGACGCCCGGTTGATTGCGAGCTAGTCATTTCAGTTTTTGAAACACAATCTGGATCATACAATCCTGTCCTTCCAATTCCATTTAACTGCTGTAAAATTTGCAGGCTATTCTAACCAGGATGGAATGGACATATTCATGATCTAAACAGGCTTCAATGGCCATATTCAGTCTCGGTGCCTACACACTGTCACTATGATTCATCAACTTTTTTCTGTTCCTGAGTTCGAAGCGTGCTTTCCAATTGCTTTGTGCTTCAGATAAATGGAAAATGACGTAGGTTTCATAAAAACTTTATTTGTGTGGTTAAGACAGCAACATTTTCTTAATTTGTTTTAGGATATCACCTCCATTCACATGCAATGCCTAATCGAACATTCCATGGACGTAAGAACTTCGCAGATCTTCGGGAATTATTCAGAAGAAACAGTGTAGATCTTACAAAACTTTCTAGATTCTTCAGGACAACTCCAGTAGTATAAAACGGGCTTGAAAGCAACATTTCAGTCGGTGTTGTCGCCATGTAAGAGCATAGTGAATAACAAGACAGTTATTTCAGATGACATCTGGTTTTCTTTGCTCCCAGCAGATGCGATCTGCTACAGATAATTATCTCTTCATAGTCGATTTTAAGAAGTCTGTACCTTATAGAGAAAAGTTCCCCGCCTTGAATTTAACATGCTACTTATACAAGAACCACTGATAGTTATTTTGAAGCGAAATTTTTTCATACAATGTGATTTATGGAAAAGTAGTAGAACGGGGGTAAAAGTAAAAGTTATGATCTATTTTCAAAAAATCTATAGCCTGCATAAGAAAATGAATGTGCGATTTGAATTCGGCACGATCAATTTGTATAATAGGCACTGTCTGATTCTGGCCAACAAAAATGTAGTTGACTATCTTATAAACAATCACTGTCATATTTTACGCTCGTCGAAACTTACGCAATTTACCGATCATGTCTATTCAGGCGTCTTTCATGCACCTCAAGAATAAACTATTTAACAGAGTTCGTTGTACCAGCTTCCAAGTCCGATAGACCTCCAAGTGCATGGAAGAGCACTAGACTAGAGTTTCAAGCTGCTGGGAATCAACGGCAGTGCGTATCTAGCGAATCCATTAGGATTCGACTCCATGACCACCAGCGGCTTGCATCTCTAGTCAGCAAGTTACGCCACTGGATCACGGCAGACCGCGGCGGACCGTCATGAATTACATGCGTCTTACCGTTCACTGCCATCCAAGTTACGAACATTGTAGTGGACAGGTGTCGAAAGACACGACCTCAGTAGCTATGTAGAAAATAGCAGTTAGAAATGGTTAGTGCGGATATTTCGTTGTACTTATGAATATGAGATTTTTGATGTAAACAAGTGATATTTCGTCGCACCATATGTTCGAATTCTGATGCATCCGATGGATGCGCATTAACGATGATGTCCAACAGATGGAAACTGCACCTTACTGCTTTTCCAGACATGTGGAGTACTATCTGATTTGGAAGCTGGTGTGATGAACTCTCAAGTAATTACATCAGAATCCCCTACGCATGGGTAGATAAACTATTCGTTTATTCATTTATTTATCCATTTATTTATTTATTTGTCACCATGAGAGCCGCATGGACATGCGTAACGTCGACGGTGAGGCAAAAGAACGTAGGTGGATGATGTAGGGCTCATTGAATAAATTATTACTTGTGGGCTGATGAGAACACCAAACCGTCACTCGCATGAATTAACTTTGAGGAATGGATATTTTGCCCTCTGCATCAAAGCGGGTGGAGACGTCGCCGAGTCTATGACTCTGACACAGGAAGACTCCATGAGTCGTGTGGCACTGTAATATCAAGCGCAAAGTCCAAAGGTCAGACAACCCAACAAGCATAATGGGAAGGTGGAAAAGAAGTGGCCACGAAGAACGCATGTTTTCATCATGCGATTTGCGACAAGTTATCAGGTTCAGAGCGCAAGTCAGAACCTGCCTCTTAGACTACTCGAAGACATGCAGCCTCATTTCACTCCACGCTTTACCAACATGTCAGACAACGCATGATTAGATAGTTCCGCGTTACGTATTAGTTTACTTATCACTTTTCAGACATTGTTTTCCTATAGGAAGCTTCCTTCTTTTCGTCTTCCATGTAATGAGATGCAACAACAAATTGTTCTAAGCACCCATAAGCATGTCCAAGGAAAGAATGGTTAAAGAAGTAACGTTCAATGGATGACACGGTCAACGTGGAACTGGTAAAATCGGTGTTTCTGTTTGGACGATTAGTATACTGTACCACAACCACAGATAAAGAGGCCACAGCTTACAGGAGCTGAAACGTCAAAATCTGGAATGACAGTGAAACGAGCGAAGAATTAAAGAAAGAAGAGAGGAAAGGCATCAGCAGCAAGCTGATGCTTCGTTGCCATGCAACTACCATCAGTTGCTGTGAAGTCTCCCCACCCCCCACAGATTCGAACTCGTGAACAAAGCAGGCGCCTAAGCACTTTCACTACCAGCCGGCACCCCTTAAGGTAAGAAGTGGTGCGAAATAGAAACAATGTCCATACTGGGTTCGAATCGATGGAAATAGCGAAAAGGGCTACATCAGAAGTGTGTGTAGGTAAACACGTGACCGATACTCACGTCCCGGGGGTGGCTGCAGTGGATGACCAGTGGCCTGACAATAGCCGGCAGGAAGTAGGTCCGGAGAACTGGCTTCGAGGAGGACGTTGTACTTGTCTTGCCAGCCATCGTAGCCAATTGTGACAAAACCCGAGGGCTCCACTGACACGATAGAGGCAACACGAATCAGCTGGGGACAGCGTTTGTCCACAGCCTCTAAACGCTGGCCCGGTTGCAGACGACTAGAATGAGAAATGGCCTTGGAAGCCTGGAGTAAAGAAAGTATGAGTCTGAGTCAGTGGTGTAAAGTGAGAATGAGTGCTACTATATGATGAACATAATTTTGTTTACCTTTGAAGGAGGCTCCAATGAATGTGGGGTATGGGAGAGAATATACGCAATACATCTTCATTAAAATGTTGTGTTTGGCAAAAATGATCACAACACAAATTGAGCGGTGAAAGATCAGTATAAATATGACAAAAAAGAAAAGATGAAAGAGGTCTACATCAGATGGAATAAACAGAATGTCCGGGTAATGCAGTTAAAATAATAAAATTATAGTAATAATAATAATATTCATTCCCAAGCTTGTGTAAGGCACGCGTTCGATCAAATAAGTGCTTGTGCCGTCCATAAATTGCGCATTAATGGAAAACGTCGGAGAGATTCTAATAGCAAAATATTTGCCACCTATTATGGCTAGTTCAATTGAGTTGTTTAAGAAATACGATCCGAGCACAGAACTGCGGTGGACCCAGTTGCCACGACTCGCATCGCAAGAATAACAATAAATAACAACGGCGAGATAGTGGGATTGAATGCAAATGAAATGGGAGGAAAATGGGGTCAAAGAGATGCGTTAGACTAATCAAGATAGAACCAGAATCAATAACTATATGCAAGAAACCGAATGCAAGAACGCCACTGACTGTACCATGTCCGAAAGTCTACAACCATAGTTGTGGACCATTTAGAGACCCCAATCCAAGAAGACGACAAGCACCGGCCTGACCAAGTCTATCAATCAAGTTCCTTATGTATCTATGCCACGTCATCGACTGGCCACTTTGCAGTTTCGCCTAACTTGGTGGAGCCACGAAGTATAATGCACATCGAGGAAGCCAGTCAACAGGTATACAGAGGACATGTCCTAGCCAAAGTAAGCGATTAAGATTCAGCAAACACTCCAATGAGGAATCAGAAGGCTTCTTGCCAAAAACCAACTGAAAGACCTCAACATTGCTCACTCGATGCTCTCACCAAAGGTGAGCGATACTCTACATGCCAAGGGTGGTCGAATACGGCCAGGCATTTAATGTCTTCGCCGCGAACTAGCCAGGTCTCTGATCCATACAGTAAGAGCGGCGTTATCGCAAGATTATATACCATTATGGCCAGTAAAACAAGATTTGTTGCTTTCGCTTAAAAGAGCTCATGTCGATAGTGCGAGGCGAATAAAATAAGTTGATGACAGAATTAAAGTAGCCGAATCTATCCGGCAAATTCATCGCCAATAAGCTTTGAGAAATTTTAAGTAAGATTCTTCAGTCAAATAATAAATGAATTTCTTAGTTTTCCTAGAGATCAGCTGTGAAATCGCCACAACAGGAAGACCAGGATAATAAGTTGGAACGTATGGTCTTTGTTACATCTCTATATACAGAAAATGTTGAGCCTATCCTTTGCTCTAGAGCTGAAACCTGTCTGTCACATAAATGAATGCGTGGTGGCAACAATGCTGAATCCAGAATTTCAATAATTTGATAACCCACGTTGACAACGCGTGTTTGAATGTCGAGCCGAGTCTAGGCAACATTGTTTAGGGGGGGGGGGGAATCATTCTCAAATTAACTGAGGCATAGCGCTTTTATAAATAAATTGGCGCTTAATCTCCATTGTGTGCGTTCAGCTATCCCCATAAGCGACGCAAAGCAAAATCGTCACAACGATCGATCAATGACGGAGTGGAACGATGGTTTATTACTGGCAAAAATGTCAATACTTAACAAGACCCCAAGATTGGTCAATGTGTGGGTGAATTGGAATAGCAAAAATAAATGTGTCGGTAAAACAAGTACACGTTCGCGAACACGCCCAAAAATATTCCCATGAAAATAGCCATAAATGCAACATGAGCTTTTTAGAGGAATTTGACAGGTATAGCCTTTAATTTCGCCATAGTATTTCCTGATGGCTATAGTATTTGATGAAAATTGTCCAATGTACTGTCAGGTCATTTTTGAATGCGGAAACAGTGGCGGCAAAAATAACACCACAAGGAATAATGGCTTATGGTGGCATCTCGGCCGCTCTACCTCGTAGTCAATCTTAGTTGTCAATGGCTTGGTAGTGTTTAGCACATGTTCTGGTCATCGTAACTGCCAGTATCGTCCGCTATTTACTTCTAGGAATCTCAATGTACGAAAACAGAGAAGAAGCAACGCTTGGGGACGTAAATCTTATTTCATCGCGTAGTCTCAAGCGCAGAAAAATGATGCTTCTGTCTCAGCTCCTGGGCTCAGATGGGTTGGTAGGTAGACTCCAAACACTTGTATGGAGATTGAAAGTTGGAACAGCCTTATAAGTTGATTGTCATTTTAATGTGTGCTGATTTTAGTGGTCGAGGCCATACTCAACCGACATGTCAAGGTCACCATAAGGTCAGTGGACAGCTCAAAAATAGGCGATTCTTTCAAAGCCTCTGAATGTAGCAATTAAGTGCGCAAGGAAGAGATGGAAAAGTAAGGAACTGTAGCCATGCCAAAAAGTCGAAATACATGGAGAGTTTAGTGGTCCTAGTGAGAGTGACTATGGGCAGTTTTAACGGATCGGTCTGGGACCAAATACTGCTATAGTATATCAATTTGCAGTGATACATCCATCCAGATTCGAATGTTCAGTTCCTGACCAGGTAGGATAATGCTTTTGACAGCCAACACAAATATTAAAAACAAAATTACAACAGAATTAATGAAAATGCGACAAACGTCAACATATACTGCTACTTGATCAGGTGAGACAGCAGCGCGCATGTAATAAAAGATATTGAGAGCGAAAACCACGCCACAGAATCGCGATAGCCACGTATAATCCAAAACTAAAAGAATTGTTCAACAAAAAATATAGAACCATTGAATATCGGGTGTTAGCGGAACAGAAGAAGCGAGGATGGAAGTCTGTGGATGGATGCGGTCGATTAAATTTGGGATAGGGGATCGAGCCACTGACAACTCATTGAGAAAGCTTGCAGTAAACTGCCCGAGCGGGCTGCTGTCAGATTGTCTGCGCAGAAGTAAGAGAGAAGTTAATCCCTCCGCCCCAAAACCCCTGGAGCACAAGTTCAATCATGAAACGGCGAGGGAATTGACAGGTCGTAAAGAGCTTAACGTTTTAAGCAGTAGTGAGTAACACCCCCCGTTCCGGCTCTAGAAATGAGTGATAATAAAACTGCTGATAAACAGTACGAGTCAGTATGATGGTGTTCAGAGAAGCAGTGAATACAATGAGTCACCGAAATGCGTAGACTGGCGTTTCGATGGATACTACCTAGTCCGGCAGTCGTGGCTATTTTGTGGTCAATTTTGGCGAAACAGTGTTCAGTAGGTGCACACAAATACACAGCTGCACACGGCTGCAAGGAGTGGTCAGAGAGCTAGACAACATTGTGAAAACACTTCCAACAGACAATTTCAGTCGTGTGATATGCTGCATCAGGGTCAAAACAACATCTGTCGATGGTGTGTGTGATAGAAAATGACGTTAGAAAATTAGTCAATGTGAATATATAGCGGAAATAGGTCATAAAGTTGACTACATTGCAAAGTGCAAGGTGAACCGGGGTAACAGAATAAAGAACGAAAAAACCACAAGAACAATGACTATTTATTTGAAAAGCACGGAAAGAAGACGAAGGCTGGTAGATGCATGCATTTCGTATTGCATGCATCTACCAGCCTTCGTCTTCTTTCCGTGCTTTTCAAATTGTTGAAGGGAACTAACTGCTTTAAATTGCTGAAACGACTATTTATTCATCGGTTTGCTAAATTTTACAACTATGCCAGTGTTTGCAGTACAAGTGAAACTTGGACTTGATATAAACAACGGTTACAGGGAGCGAGAAAGTGAAATTCTCATGCTCCTAAACCATTTGTGCTCTTTATAAAGGCGATGTAAATATCATCATTATATGGATGAATCAGAAAAATGGCGATTCGCATAACCATCTTCTGTAAAATTTCCAAAAAAAAATCTGGAACTAAAGCGACGCGGCATTATCCCCCCTAAAATAACCGGAACAGTAGCGCTTTAGCACCGAGTAAAGATTCCTGCTATCAAGAAACGGTATACCTCTGTAGCTCAAAGTTCAGACACCTTCATCGTCCGCAAGAGAGAATTAAACCCCCAACCGAGGGCCAACAACTAAACAAGGAAGTGGTATCAGTAAAATGTCACATACTTGACCAACATCAGTCCTAACCAGCTGATGCGCAAAAGTGATATTTCCAGGGAGAGACAAGAGCTATACCAACCACGCAGCACGAAGTTCCAGCGCACTTACGTAGTTGGGCGAATTGGACAAAATCAAGCAGAAATAGTTAAATGACCAGTGGTCAACCGGGTGTTCTACTTGACGCACTGTGAATTTTTGACAAACATCCATGTACTATGTTAGACCAAGCAGAGGTGGAAATGGCGGTGGTGTATGACAGATAATTAGTCGAATCGTCGTTACCACTATAGGTTTCAAACGCGCTTTGTATGAGCAGCTGGTAAAAGATGTGGTTTTTCCAAGGCGTAAAACTGTTTCAAGCGTGGTCTAATTGAGATTGTGTGTCGCAATCCAGACATGCGGCGGATACTTCAAGACCCAACAATGAGCTTCTGATCGATGTGTTAAGCGGTGCTCGCGGAGCTCTGACCTAGTGACCAAGATGTAAGCTAACAACGACTAGGAACTTGGTTGCATTGTCAGCTCATGTTATCTCTACCTGAGAAGTCCCAATCCGGATGAAACCGATAGGTCTTGGAATACACTGTTGGGAAAGAGCAACTCAAAAGCTATCCACACCGTAAAAGTATACTTATGCAATAATGTTGGAAACACTACAGTGCTACGTATATTCTGTAGTAATAAAGTTGGGGCATGGCCAGTAAAAGGATACTAAAGATCACAAGTACTGCTTGCACTATGGACAAAAACATCGCAGGTTTGACCAACAAAGGTTAGGCAGCTACGAACGAGAGTGGGTTAAACCGGCCGGTTGCAGCGGCTACACAATCAGAACGAAAGCCAGCGGTGTATCTACCCAGTCTAGTAATAACGCTTTCCACTGTGAAGATAAAATGAATATCCTGAGGCGTTCAGAGTTCTGCGTCAGTCTATGCAGGAACGTTTGTGCAGAAACTAGGCATACACCTAAGGTACCTATGTTATCCGCTTAGACATGTCGGTCGTCCTCTCCCCCAGATGAAAATCAAGCATACAGTTGAGTAGTTAATTCGATCACAGTCAAAATGATTGCGGAAGACATGATGGGCTTGACATTTGATGTTTTCAGCGATGAAATCACAATTAAAAAGAGATTGTGAGGCAGTCTGCAGATGGAATAGAGTGTCGTCTTGAGTCTGGGTAACTTGGAAATACTAAGTTAGTAACAAAGTTATTGCGGTATTTTGATACTATTAATTTAACAGCTGTTTTTGCTTAATTTTCAATAAGTTGTTTTGACCTTGGATATAACTTTGAATCTTTTTGCACTCGGGCTAGTAATAATGATAGTGTAGCGCAGAAACTTTTTTACCTCTTTACAGAAAATGTAATGCAACATGGACAGAAGATAAATTCGCACAGATTTGTGTGCCAATTTAAATTTAGTCGAAATGCAGCGGAAATAGCCCATGACATCAACAATGCATTTAGTGCTGGAACCAATAAGAACTATATCGCACAATGGCGATTTCAAGAATTTCGAAGTGGTTACGAGGGGCTTGAAGATGAAGAGCGTTGTGGACGGCCATTGTAAGTGAACAATGATCAATTAAGGGCCTTAGTTAAGGCGGATCTGCGTAAAACTATTCAAGTTCTTGCTGCTCACACAGCACTATCGTATGATAGTTTCAAACTAGTTACAGGAGACTGGAATGTCGCACGAATTGAATGAAATTCAAAGAAAGAATCGTTTTGTGGTGTCGTCTATCCGTCATCTGAGCAATAAAAACGACTCGTCTCTCGACCGGGTTGTGACTTGTGATGAAAGGTGGATCCCTTACGACAATCGACGAGGAACCTCTCAATGGTTGGACCGAGAGCAAGCTCCACAACCCTTCGCAAAGTCGAAATTGCGCCCAAAAAAGTTTATGTCGACTGTATGGTGGTTTACAGTCAGTCTGATCCATCACCGCATGCCGAATCCAGGAGAAAAGATTGCAGCAGAGAAGTACTGACAACAATTTTTCCAAATGCACCGAAAACTTCAACAAATAGGCCAAGCACTGGTCAAAAGAAAGGGGCCAACTCTTCTCCATGAGAACGCTCGGCAGAAACGCTCGCACAAACAAAACTGCGGAAGCTGCACGAGCTGGGGTACGAAACTTGTCTCACCTGTCATACTCCCCTGACCTCCCGCCTACCGAGTACCACTTTTTCAAGCACCTAGAGGACTTCCTTTGGGAGGAAAGTATTAAAACCCAAGCAAATGCTGAAATCGCCTTCGACGATTTCATCGTTGCCAGAACTCGGGAATGTTATGCATATAGAATAAATAAACATGGTTCCCGTTGGTAAAAGTGTATCAATTCAAATGGTCTTGTTCCGAAGAAAAATGTGGCGCTTGAGCCAGGATATGCGCACGTAAAACTTAAGATTAAAAACTGCAATAACTTTATTACCAATCCAATAATACACCTGTGCATGAAGATCAACAACCATTGGGACAACAGTGTCTGAGCAATAACAATAGACCAGTTGCTATTCGAGAGAATATTCTATTGGAAAAGCACACCTGATATTTGACCAAAACCACAATACAGGAGAACATCACGCATGTACCTGCGTTGAAAAATAGACTACTAAAAACTAAAATTGATGAAGCCTAACCATTTCATATGTTGACTTACAATGATCCTGTGATTACTTAACGTGACAATTCGAAAGTGAATAAAGTCATTAATGCTTGTTGGGAACAAAGTAATAATTTGAAAATCAACAGGAGTAATGAAAAATGATGGAAAGAGATTGAATGACAGATTGAAATCATTAGTTTGCTTAAGGGAGTACGGGGCATTATCGCTGCTTTGGAAAAAAAAGCCGTTGGGTAGTGGGAACCAATCGGCAGAAACAACCTCCAAACAAAGCGGGTTATGCGCTGCGTCAATATACAGAATGGAATCAAAGGCGACTAGGGAGTCGCAAGTAGCATTAACTGATAGCGTCGATAGCATTTGCGCCCAACGAAGATTGAAGAACTTCCCTAAACGGACAATACAAAGCAACCATTTGAGGAGCAGAATGTGGTAGCCATATATTTGTGTCCTGGTCATCAGATGGTTATTCAATGAGAAAGCCGAGAAACACGATACCAATGTACCGATTCGCATACCATATATACACTCAAATAAAAAGTGAGGCAGCGATAGCACAATATCTCGAAATAAGCTCCGATCCGACTGCGTACGCATAATTTTAGGTTTAAAATACGGGTCGGCTCACTTTTACGAACGCTTCTTTGGGCACGGCTTTCGAGTTGGTCTCTTTCAAATACTGTTTCCAAGTAAATCCAGTGATGCGGGTACTCCAGTCTAAAAATGGAGAACGGAAGTCCACGTGATCCACAATTCACTGTACTCGCACAACAAAGGTACTAATTACATAGATATGAAAGTCAACACACCGGTGATTTCAAATAAAATGGATAGATAAAGGCAAAGTTGCCCAGAGATGACTGGATGACACCTATAATAAAGCAATCCACAGAGACGTGCACATTGAGATGAATGCAAAGTAAGTAAACAATATAACAACAGCATCCAGACTTGGCACAAACAATCGGACTTTTTAAACATATTTGCGTGAGCAAAATTCATGAGTTAAGAAGCACTCGTGGTCGCTGTCCTACCGTTGCTTGGACTCATGAGCATATGCGGATGCAGATAGGCGAATCACCGCATACCGACATGTCACATAAAGGCGTAAACTAATCGATGATTTAGGGTGGGAAAATGAAGCTCGGGGAACCAGTTGCAGCTTTTCTGGGAAACACTAGAGAGATGAGTTGCTTCGGGATGGATGACTGAATTCAGCGGCATCGCTCAGCAAACAACCTCCTTGCGGTACCAGCTCGGTGGTTAGGATTTATCCTATTCCAACAAGTAGTTCGGCGGTGGGTTTTCGACTGACACTAGCCCTCCCTATAAAAACTACAAATGTCGCTATAAGAGCACTGGGACGTTGCGACTGTGACGCGCCGCTAAATAAAGTCACTGCTCCTTGTGAAGGGTTTCGATGTGGCTCTCTCTCTCTCATGTCTGCACTCCACAACAGACGATTTAGTCTTGGTTTAGACTCATCAGGTAGAGATAGCCGAGCTGGTAGTGGAATCCGGCGCATAGCGCTTGATGGCTATCGCCATGATCCCTAGACCATTGAGGTTCGTGAGCACTGCTTGACACAGCTAGGCAATGTCTATCTAATGCGTCTAAAGCAAGACGAAACCGTCCGTCGTGGAATGAAGGGATGAGAGAGAGCCACACCGAAACCCTCCACTTCGGTGACGGTCTCAGTGACCGTATTGGCAAAGACTGACTTCAAAGTCAACCGAGGCCACGACTGAGATTGCGTGTCGCAGTCTAAGACACACGGCGGGTTCTTCAAAACCCGAAAATCACTGATCCCTGCCTAACTTCGGTGGAGTACTGTATTTAAGCAACCTGAAACCGACACTATGTGGAGGAGTGGGTTTTTCTTAGGTTATCGACCAAACGAAAGGCATCTAAACTGAATACTCAGTCACCGGCTCACAATGGGCGTGATTCCCTGCCTACCAGTCGATGCCTTGCCGGTAGGCTGTCTCTCCTATGTCAACTCTCTAACTCGATTCGGGTAGCCGGGTAGTATCGTGCCTTGCGAAGAAATCATAGATCCCTCTATGTTGTGTTCTGTTTCCTTTTTCGAGTTCCATGGCTGTTGAAGGCTCTATGTCTGAATTAAAATATGTTATCCATAGGTAACAAATACTAGTACGACGCAAATTCAAGCAGGAAGCATGCTACTCTGTTTGATCACGCGAAGAATAAGCCGAGTGTGGTATTACCCAAATTGTTTCAAGGTACTATATTTATTTCACCCATGTTGACGCAGCACTAGTACCACTGGTACCAGAGATTAGAAATACAAAACCGAGATTTAGAGAAAAATGGAATGCAACGAAGCAACACGCTAACTGACCACTGGGAATGGAAAGGGTTAACTCCTGGTCTTCGCAATATCCAACCGGATGAAGCAATTCCGACGACACGTGAGCCCACTGATCAAAGCTGCAATCCCATCCATCAAAATGTATCAAAATGTAATCGCCGATAATGTCTTTCACGGTAGCAACACAGGCGATACCGGGATTGCGTTTGTCCACAGCCTCCAGTTTGCAACCGATGCAAAAAGTGTGGGCAGATGTGTCCGTCAGGGACTGAGCAAAGGAAAAATGGAGCAAAGAAACGGCAGATGGTAAAATTGCTAGCGAAATTTTGGAATCAGTTCAAAATATAGCCACCCTCCCAACGAATGTTGCGTTTAATTTGAAGTGTAAAAACCGAATGAACCAATTGTAAGACTGCTCAAATTCACAAAAACAACTGTTAAGAAAAGTTGGTGCTAAACATAGTTAATTAGAGTACTCCCTAATCCATTGGTGAGGGAACCCTACAAGCAATCCAGTTTGGCGTGTTTAGACAATCACGAGAACAAAACATCAAACTGAGTGTCGGAAGTGAAGCTAACTATTTGCAAAAAAGAAAACGGGAAACTGCCAAACATAAACACGACGGTCTGCAGATCACACAATTCAGTGCCGAATGCATACCCTCCAAACGTCAGTTATTATGATTTGAATAAAACGTTAAACAGGTACATTCGTAATAATATGAGGAAAGTCCATTTGTACAGACATAGAGTCAACAAATTCAGAATTTGTATTGCGACGTCCGAAATCATCTGGGAATGGAAGAGTATACACCAGTAAAAATCAGCCGAACTGCATTCCGGCTTCGATCTCACACTCGCTTGGTCAAAGCCATCCCGCGCACAACGGAACACCAGAAACGGGTAACACGTGCACATAAATCACACGATTCCGAAGCTTGGTTTTCAAAGTGGAGCATTCACCTCTAAGAGCATTAACTCAGTTGTTTACCTGTTTTATGTATTTAGTGAATATTATATATGTGATTCAGTCAGGATGTTTCAATTATGTGCGTGTCATTGAGGGTTAATAAATAAGAGTATTGAGGTTAAAACAGTAGGGAGAATACAGAGTGGATAGATGCCGTTATTTCGTGTTACATGAAACCGTGTCGGACAGCGAAAAGAAATTTGTGACTGGGGAATTAGACGACAAAATCACAGCTCCCATAAAGGTTGCAAGCTTTGTGTGCCCCACACAGGCTTATCGGTGTGGGTAGAAAAGTGGACGTAGTCACCAGCAGTGAACAAGTTCAAGAGTGGCGTTTCATTTGTTTTGCTTAAGAAACGATTACTCTGCGTTGATAAGACATGCAGTATACGAATAACGATGTATTGAAATACAGGGGAAATCGCCCGAGTATCTGAGACATAGCAGGTATTTTTCTAGCAGTTTAATCTACCAGGGTTGGAGACAAACTAAGTTGCCAAGTCATGTTTACCAATATATTGCACCGGAAGTGAGCTACAGTGCATAGGCAGCAGCAATCAAATACGGGCACCAAGAGCATGTCAATTGAACTGGGTTGTTACGGTTCAGAATACCTCGGCTGAATGGAGCCAGTTTAACCGAATGGCTGTATCCAGGTCAGGGCCTTTCATCTTAAACCCCTAACACATCCATCGAAGTTAAACTATCCAGAGGAGATTCGTCTTAGCAACTTCCAGTCGCACCCAGAGCTGAAGAGCATCAGCAGTACGCTAGTACGTAGTATTGACGCTTCGCTGCCGCTCAAACATTACCCATTGCAAGTGGGCTAAGGATACTGCGGGGGTCACCCGGCCCCTACGTAAGCACGAACAAGTGCCTTCAGAGTGCAAGGTGCGCTTGTGATGCTTCGAGTTACGGGCCGGCCACAGATCCGAAAAGGAGCGGAACAATTGTTTCATCCAATCGGGACTGTTCAGCAACGTGCACCCCTCCGACTCCGCTGGGAGTCGAATCCAAGACCCGTTTGTTGAAGTCAGCAACTCATGTTACCATACCATTGGTGACGACAGTGGACTGCCATGGCTGATTACTAGGTGTATACTGGGCGGGTCATCTTCCATTGCAACACATGTTGTAAATAGGCAGAAGACATGGTAGGCCCTCAGAGCTACGACACCTCCTGCAGACCACCAGCAATTAAAATGGTATTTACGCTGAGCGGGCGAGTACCAGCTGTCAAAGAGTAATAGGGAGATCATGGTATGGTCTTAGGGGAGATTAGTCCAACGAACTTGGCAGTTAGACAATATCATGCCTATCTGACAAAACGGAGACTGTGGAGAATCCGTGCCAGTTACAGGTAATGTGTAAAGATGTACATCATAGTGACTGGGAGTCGACCTAGCACAGTTGGACATCAAATGGCTGTCGTTCATTAAATACTGTCCGCAAGCTACTCCACTTATCACAACCGGCCCACAACAAGCAAGCTTTCAGCTTTTATATCTAACCCTATGTGCAATGCCAAGGGTTTCGAAGTGTGAATAGAGCAAGAATAGGTGGCACTGAAAATTCGCTCCACGTGACTAAAAGCACCGAGTCGGAAACCGCTGGATATACGCTCGTAGGTAAGTCAAGATGTGCACCTATAGGTCAGTATGAGATTCTGAATAAGGAGTACGGGAAACAGAGTAAGAACATATGCACCTGTATTGATCCATCGAGATATTATCGTCAAGCACATATAATAACGTCATTTATTACCGCGCACACTTTGGCTGTGTGACATATTCAGGCACAATGTGCTATTGAAACCTGCAATTCGCAACGTGGGCGACTAAGAATTTCTCGAATGCTGACACAGATTTCGTCTCTATTATCGTTTGGATAAGTTGTTCCAATGGAAGGTGAGCTATCTGCTTCAGGTTCGGTACTATAAGCTTGCACCGATGCTCGAGAGTGCTGCTTAGCGCGCGCACATGCAGAAATAGTCTCAGACTAGGAAAGTCACCCAGATGTCATATTCGATGCGCCATTACGAAGTTCACACGAAATCAGCGAAAAGACATGGTGTACAGCTTCAGTCTCCTGCATAGGTCCTCGTACGACATACTCCGTAGACCGCTACAGGCTGAACACGTTCCCGTCTTTACATCTCGCCAGCCCATAATCTAAAGGTAGCAAGCTTGTCTTGTAATCTGACGGCGTGGGTTCGAGCATGTGTAGGGGCAGGGCGAACCTCATAGTATCCTAGCCCAGGTGGGCCCGGTGGTGGTTGAGCGTCAGCGAACCGTCCGTACTGTGCACCGGCGTACCGCTGATGCCTTATTTACACCCCGCCACGGGTGACTGGACCATAGGCGCGTGAGCCGTACTCGAGCATTGGTCTCGTGATAAAACAGAGTGCGAGTGGCAATCACTCCAGATCAATTACAGAAGCCGGGTTTGAAAGCCAAATGCTCGTGGAGTATGCATTTATTGTTGGCATAGTGAAGAACAAACATTGACCGTCAGTGCTTCTTGGTTCCAAACCTGCATTATACTATCTAATTGCAAATTTGGCAAGACGTAGAAGGATGGATCTGCAGCAATCGCATTTACTTCCGGTAGGGACCGAAGATGTAAGACCAAAGAACGCGCGAAAAGGGGCCAAATAATTTTCAGAGTGGGTCAAAACTCAGTCCAGATACATATCGCATATGGAGCAGTGTGCTGACCTCGAGTCAAAAATACGAGGAAGTTTGAGAAGCAAGGTTGCACCGAGGTTTGGTTTATGCAGCTGAAGGGTAGTGTCACGAATACATTGTACCACAGAATCAACCACTACCACTAAACACCAGTTGCGAGAGATCGCCGTTCGTGAGAGAGGTAAAAGATTGTCAGGAACCGGCGAAAGCGTGAACAGTACGCAGGAATAACAGTTTGGTTGCAATAAACAGGCAAAGATAATGATGTGTCAAGATAATATACTGTGTGGTGTCAATGATGAATCTATCATTGCGTCCCTAATGGTAAGGTTGTCACCCGCGGGCACATGAATCGAGGGGAATCGCTGCGACTATGTATGGCTCTAACTGTGGGTATTGACTTGAACACTAAATGCAGCTTAATGTCATTGATTGTGCTGAGAAGCGGTTTCCGAGTAAACACACCAGTATGGAAAATATCCCAATACTAAGGTGGAATACGAAGAATGGAGAAATTAGAGGACAGCAAATGGGATGGTGCAAGTAATTGTACCAGACGGAGACGAAAACCATGAGGGAGTGAAGCAAAACGGTATAACTGAATACAAATATCGGAGAAAATTGTTAGAAGGGATAAATCTAAAGAAAATGAAAAGAGGGAGGGTGCATTAGTCATGTGCGACTGCGAAAATACGGACTCACCGCTGTCTTGACGATGGACAACAAATAGAGGCAGATAATGAAGGAGGGAATAAAACTTAATAAACCGTTTGTGGAATAGTGAGGGCAGTCAGTTCCTGCATCAGGACAACTGAACGCGAACGGCTTCTATAGATCAGTAGTGTAAAGAACGAAGGCGCACAATAGTTTCATGAGTACGCCACTACATCAATACACGGTGGGTTGCCATCCAATAACCAAAAAGAGCAATGGTAGTCCTTTTCGAAGGGAATGATGTTTAGTTGGGAAACCAGCGTGAAGACAGTACCTTTCGGCACTAAAACCACTATTGGAAGTCGACGTCTGAGATAAGGGCATTTGATGAGCAGATAATTGGGGTGTCACGCACGCGCACAATCAAGTGGATCAAGGGCTGGGGTGGAGAATAAGGCAGGCGTGTATGCGTAAGCTCAGAGATGACAACCACTTGTAGGTGGATGAAATTCAATATGATACATTGTCAGTCAGAATGTACAAGTCTAGTAAAACAGTGATATGTTATGGAGAAGAACATGGGCAGATCTTGCAGACGGTTTTAGTACAAAATGCTCTATCAGTGCACTCAAATGTGGACAAATGCCGAATTTGGCGCACACGAATACCAATGTAAGCATTCAATTTAGAGCAAAATTTAGCTTCGACAGTGCTCAGTAAACGGATATATATATATATATATATATATATATATATATCGAAGTAAGCATAATGCAAACGAACTGTTGCATATCCACATGTGAAAACTGCGTCCACAAGGATCCACAACCGTATGACAAGACAAACTCCGTACTTAACCTCATAGAATGCGATATAATACCTCGCAATATTTAGTAAAGTGTGTTAAATAAATAGTGTAAGATATGCTGCACGGTCAATGCGATAAATTAGTTGCTTAGTGGTCCAACAACGAGGACAAAGGCAGAACGAAGCCGTGATATACAAGTTTATGGCACATAGACCGCTACTTCGTCTTAAAATTCATGACGAAGGGAGACAGGAATCTAAACAATGGACATGCTGCAGTAACGCGTATCGCTGAAGTTGAAAGGATGCAAAATGCGATTAATGAGAATTAAACTGAAAGCCTGTAAAAGTTCGAATCACTGAGCAGTGAAACAGTCTGTGGAAGTGGTTTCTATCAAAGGAGCTTCATTCAATAAATAAAGGATATGCCATATACGCTATCGTATCATGAAAGTCAATGGTCCGGCTTACAACCAAGGACTCCGCATATAAAAACAGCAACCGCTGATCTTCCATTTGCCGAGCTTTCAGTGTGTTTGGCCGCAGTCACTTCATCCGCATTGTCACTACACCCTTTGAGACCGCCGAAAATAAGATTCAGGTAAAGTATGCATTAAAATGGAGGCGAAAAATTTTATTGCAAAAGGAAAATGACTCCCTACTAATAGGTATAAGTGGGTCGCAGTCAACAAATGCAAATCCTTTTCAAGAAAAGCCATTGGAAATTAAATTACGTCAGTAAGTAGAAATTCATGACAAAAGTACACACCCAATAGAGCAGATGCCCTTTGCCATAACAAGACAACTGGTAACAATAGGTGTTACCCCCCTGCAAAACACCGTGATCCGCGACTGGCACCCTACTTGTTTGAATCATCAGGCAAAAATAACAGGCACTCGAATCCGAAGCCTTTGGAATATCATCAAAAACTGATCTTAGGCCACCCAGTCGCGGCGGGAAACGCTTACAACAACGGTGAAAAACTGATTGTAAGGAGTCGCTTTGAGGCGCTCGTGGTGTGAATGGAAGGTGACATGAAATTCAATGTGGAGTACGATTCACTTTAAAGTGAATCTCGGTCAGTTTGATCACTGGAACCGTAAATGAAGTCGAGACCCTGTGGTCAAGATCTCGGTTGGCATAACAATGGTTCTGGATTTGGTGCATGCTACCTCTACTTGATGAGATTGAATAAGCTCAAAACAGGCCGTAGAGTGCAGTATTTTCAGGCGGGCAACACCCAACATTCCACTGCATCATCAGTTACGGTCCCAGTGATCGAATTGGTCAAGGTTCACTTCAATGCGAATCACGGTTCACATTGAGATAGTGCGTGACTTCTAGATGATACCTCCGACTAGTAACAAAGTTTGGAACCATGTTTTTGACAAATAATGAGTAAATACTATGAGAACAAAGTACGAAAGAAGAAAACGAAAAGAAAAACATCAGCAGTAGGTCGGCACACAGTACCGACGCTTCGCTGCAGCGACCATCATCAGTCGCGCTTGAGCTGGGAATAGCAGTATCCTCTGGATTACAGAACAAACGCTTTATTCGTTCGGTCACCGACCGAATCAGTGATTGAAAAACAAATATGTAACAGCATGCAACGGATGACATGCGGACATAAAGGCGGCGAAAGGTACGTTGTCAGAAGGCCATCCATACACAGGACGCAGAAGACGTAGGCACTTACGCAGTCCCATGGAACTCGAAATAGGTGGCGCGGAACCGCGGTTAATTTCTCTCTCGACATAAAGGTGTCCCAGTCAAACTGATCTCGCTCCAAACAATACCCTTTAGGTGGTTGCAACCGACGTTTGTTCTGTGCACACCAACCCACAGGAAACAAGAAAGGGGAATCAACTGTGGTCCAGAAATCGTACTTTTCTGGGTACCCAATAAAACGAAGTCGCAGTCGTCGTCCCATCACTTCAGCAACCTTCAAAGCACAGAACAGACTCTCGCGATGCGGGTCGATGCCTTCCATGCACTGATCAGGTTTGAAGCTGCTCGGAAGAGGGTTGTGAGGATGCGCGCGAGCCGACTGACAATCAGTCTAGATAGAAAAATGGTATAGGCAAGAGGAAAAGTGAGTGATGCAACCAGAGGTGTTATGGGGGGGGGGGAAATGGCTGGTAGTAGGAAGTATGTTTGACTTCTGTTCCAACAAATGAAAACACAAAACTTTCCAAAATCATTGACAACATAGATGAAATCAGTCAAGTTCTATTGGACGGCCACCACAAACGTGGATACATACGCTTCTGTCTATGAAGCTGTGTGAAGTTCGATAAAAGACGTAAAATTATAAGGCAAGATGAAGTTAACTGCAAAACAGGCCACAGTGTTGGCGCCCACGATTCCATATGAAGCATCTGCACTCATATAATCATTCGCTTGTTTCTAATCCGAAGCTGCTCCATCTGATGGTTTTCTTCGATTCGTTCCAATTGAGTGTTTGCATGATCAATATTGGGTTATTATTACTTGGAAGACATAAGTAAACGTAACGGGGATCCGTCGCAGCTTGTTGTGTGGGACTTGATGAAAAACTGATTACATTGCGTCGGCTGTTTGTACAAACTAAAGCCGCAAAGGGTTGCATGGAGCTGAGATATACTGAGCGAGACATACCCCCTCTTCGTAACCGACTAATTATACGCCTATGTAAGTAAACAAATACTTGTGTTTCCTCCACATCGCAAGACAGAAAATGTGCAAAGTACTACATTTTTCCGACATGGCACAAGCTATTAGGTTGTATGCTGGATATTCCGATCATAGTTGCGACTAACAGCCTTCAGACATAAAGGATCTAATTGTAATTAGTTTTATTAGTTAGCATAATAAGTCGTAAGTATCAAAGTACAGGTTTGTAAGAAAGAAAGGATGGGAAGGAGTGAAATTTTGTCTAGAAGTCATAAACGAAACTATAGAATATAGGCATTCGTTAAAGAGTTCAAAAAATAAAACTAAATGAAAAGCTAAGTATGTATATTAACGACAAGTGGTATACCATACCCTAGGTGGGAGCGATCAGCAAGTTGCCGAAAAAGCTTGATAAAGGTGACTTAGCGGGTAACCGCGGATAGAAAGTTACTCCATCAGTTCAAGTAAATCAGAGTCAGCGGATACTGTGGATGAGGTGTCACGGAGCTGTCTGACAATTTGTCAACCGCCATCGTGAAGACGCATGGGATCTGTGCTCCCAAATGGTCAAGTCAAAGAATCGGTGGAGTTGAGCGGCCCAGAAAAAGGAATGAACCAAGAAGGGAGCGGAGATGAGGCGGGTTAGCCTTTAGGCCCCGATGACAATTCCGACTGCTCCGTCATCAAAAATGAGTCAGAAAATGTGCCAATGATTGTTATCGAGAGAAATTGTGTTAACGTACTAGAGATCAAAGAGTTAAGGCGAACCTAGTGTAAGGGTTTACAGGGGAGCATAGAGGAGTCGTTTGTCATCACTGAGAAGTCGAGTTTAGTGAACGGTGCTGATTGTATATCCGGAGTAAACATTAAGGATACCACTGGTAAGTAACAAAATTGCTGCAGACTAAAAAATCTCCTGTTTTGTAGTAATTACGTGCGTTGAAGACAAATAACATCGCGAAAAATTTTATTGGCTATCATTTTGAAGATATTCCATAAAGTTCCTCGCCGCTGTTTTACCTCACAGATTTATTCAATTGTAATAACTTCCGTAATAAGTTTGAATGATATAATATTGCATCATACTGCGGGATACCATCATGCAGTCATGTTCCGATATTGAAGGCGTCATGAATGCCAAAGAAATAACACAAGAACCACAAAAACGGAGACTATTTGTGGAATCATCCAAATTTGCACGGTGCTGTCGCACAATGGAAACCATCTGGTTGTAGGATCAATGGCAGCACCTCGGCTGAACACCCCCACATCCCACAGCTGTCTCCGAACCCAAAATGGCAGCACATCAACACATGTGGAACTGCAGCCAGTGACCGAAATTCGAAAATTCTCAGTGCATTGCCTAGTCCGCACACTGGTATCCCTCAGCTGCTCCCAAAACAATTAGTCTATGCTCCGCCGCCATTCCCTATCACAGAAATCCCATAAAATCCTTTTTTAGGACACCATATCCCCCAACATTACCTCCTACTACTGGGATTTCCACCACTAGGCCCCATGAATCAACAGATGATCTCTGCACTAGAACATCTTCGTTGGAGTCAACACAACCTAGAGCTCTTCAAAACACAAATGCCTCATTGTGGCACATGACCAACAACAATGCTAGCAAACAGTCCCTCTTAACTCTCCCTGCGGTACCTCTTTCCGTATATCCTATAGATTCCGATGTTGTAAACCTTCGTTCACTACTATCTATATTGCATCTTCTTACAACTTTCGTCGGTCTTAAAACTCCCCCATCACTGAAACATGATGCAACTCAGACATAAGTGACTCACAGCTTCAAGTTATTGCCTACCACCTGTTCCGAAAACATCGTCTGAGCAAACGAGGAGGAAGTTGCGCTATCTACATTCGAAATGATATCACAGTGATATGTTCGAAGAAAGTAGAAGCCACGATTAAAATTCACGCACAATAATATGCCTTGACGGGGAGTCGAACCCCGGTCAACGAATTTCCGGTCCGTTGCTCTACCACCTGAGCTACCGAGGGCTGACGATTAGGTGCGCAAATTTTAACACATGTCTTCTGCTTGGTGCGCGACGTGTTGCCAATAAGCTCACAGTACCTGTCCTGATGTTGCAGATTGGCTCACTCACCCGTCACTTCCCAATAGACCGAAGTTCCTGTCCTTCAGACGTCCAATGGGCGATATTAGATTAATGGTGGATGTTTGTGAGTAGTGTAAAGTTCGAAATCGTCAGCCCTCGGTAGCTCAGGTGGTAGAGCAACGGACCGGAAATTCGTGGACCGGGGTTCGATTCCCCGTCGAGGCATATTATTGTGCGTGAATTTTAATCGTGGCTTCTACTTTCTTCGAACTTTACACTACTCACAAACATCCACCACAGTGATATGTGTTAATCTTCTGACCCTCAATGACTTAAAAGATTCGTTTTGATTAGCAATCCCTTCCAGTTACCTACCACTGGGTTGCATCTATAGATCTCCCAGCACTAACAATCACCAAACTGATACCAACGCTGCCCCAAATACTTCCTACAAATAAAGTTTCTATGTGGAGATTTTAACTTACCGCATATTGACTGCACGACGCAAATAATTAGTGTCAGAGAGCCTCATGGGAATAATTCATAGCATTCAGATCAATGGTTGAACTTAAAAAGTTAATCAACCTACAAGAAGAGCCAGCACATTAGATCTGATCCTTACCATGGGCATTCCGGCAGTGCTCGTCCCTATTGACAGCCCACTAATGGGTTGCGACCACAATACTGTCCTACGCAACATGAACATTAGAATAGCAAACAAACTACGAGTGACTGACAAGCCTACTTGTTACATCCATCTCATTGACTCGATCATATTTGAATCTCCTCAGTACCCTGAGTTGGTACAAATTCTTCTTCACACAGGCACCAACCTTAACCACGAACGAATTTATACACAAACACAACAGATGTACCGACCTAGTAGCACTTACACTGTGGAACAACCCCCATAACAGTAATAGTCGACGCAAGCCATGCTTCAAAATTACCACCAAATTTAAGAAACGCATGTCCTAATATCGCAAAAACAATAACTTTACAACATTACTGTAAATTAATGAGACTTTACTGAAACCAAAACATCAGGCATTGCAAGCGGAGATCACCAAAAAAAACAAAGCGCTAAAAAAACACAAATTATACAAACCTTAGTGAAACTTCTCAACAGAATGAATACAAAGCAGAACCATCAAATCCAAAGTCTGACACTAGAAGATGGCTCAATAAGTGATGACGTTAGCCAAATGTGCGAAGCAGTGAACTGTTACTATGTGCACTCATACAATACAGAGATCAGTATGTCCCATCGTCTTCCAAAACGGAGAACAGATCAAAAGCTCTCGAGTATCCGCGTGAAGATGAGTGATGTTCAAAGTATGGTTGGCGGCATCCGATTTCGGATTTGCCAGTCACTGTGGCCAGCCACAGGACGCCTGCGCCTACAGAGGGACCATGGGTAGCTTGCGCTGAACCACCCACAGCTCTAACCACACACCTCATATCCAGTGTAAACCCGAAGGAATAAGACCGGGAGGCATGTGAATGGGATCCAGGTTTCATCAACAGCGCCGGCCCATACTCTTTCACATGCAAATACAAGCACGCTGTATTTGGGAATCAATCGCACACAAGGCGGTGGATGGACCGTAGTCCGCTCCACACTGAGTGCATGGAACCACTCTTTGATCCTAACACGGCCACAAGGACCGTGCACCCCGTCCCCTCCAGCAACGATCAACTGTATCCTGGAGCCCTTATGGACGAGGTAGTGGGTAATAGACAGGTAGTGTTCAAAGTATACCCGTCATAAAACCGTCATTTTACCCAGAAACCGATGGTATTCCTATAGCTGCCATCAAGTATGGAGGCAAAAACATTCCTCTGCCGAAGTTTAACCTCCACATTATCCTTAAACAATGGATATTTCCCTCCGCACTGGAAACGCTCGATAATGGCACCAAAACACAAAGGTGCCTCATGAGCTGCGAGGATGAATTATCACCCTATTAATCATAATGCGGCAAACTCAAAGGCACCGGAGCAAATTGTCAAGAATAGTGTTGTTCAATTATTAACAAGATTAGACATGATAAACAAAGCACAACGCGGCTTTATCAAGAAATGACCCTGCATAACATGTCAAATACCATTCTCCGACCACGTAACATCGGTTACTGACTGTCATAGCAGTTATTGTCATTCTACTAGACATGCACAAGGCCTTCGATGGTGTGCTACATAAACTTTTTTTGTCCGTCCTGCACTCTTACGGAGTAAGCAACCCATTGCTGAGCTGGTTTAAATCCTACCTAGTGGATCGGATACAGAGCGTTAAACTAGGCCAGCAACTCTCCACCTCGAGAGAAGTTACAAGCTGAGTTGTCCAAGGCAGTGTCCTTGGACCACTACTCTTCCTAATGTATATGAACACCATATGTGATTCCACCAAACACGGACGATAATACCACTTTGCGGACGATATTAAACTCGTCTACTCATTTCCACTAGATAGTCTTGAGTCGGGCCTTAAGAACATACATAAGGACTTATCTGCGCTGGACTCTTGGAATAAAAATTGGTCCACAGAAAAATATCACTTAAAAACATCAAGTGCCTGGGTTTAGATGCAACATACGGGATGGCTCCATCACCCTAGCAGGTACAAAGATCCCAAACTCCTCTTCGGTTGGGGAGCTTGGAGTAACATATTCCGCATCGCTAAACTTTTCCGAGAATGTCTCATAGCAGATAGCAAATGCGAGGCAATTGAAAGCCTATATCACTAAATCCTTCGTTCTACCTGAAGCGAGACTGGAAATGTTTAAGATTATCGTGAGACATATGCTGGAGTACTGCATAATTATCCATAGCCAACTGCGTAGAATGAATCGAATAGCATTAGAAAACATTTAGCGTCCTATCACACTGTTAAGAAAACCGCCCTCGTCACCTTAAAGTAGACCATCTATGGCTGCGCCTCCTGAGAAATAATCTAGTTCTCTTTTGCAACATTTTAAATTGCCGGGTGTACATGACCGGAACAGATATTAAGTTGCAAAATTCCTCAACCACAAGAAATAGGGGTTACTCATTACCCGTAAAAATGGGGAACTTAAAGGTCCGCTCCAAGTTAATCATGGTAAGGTATACTCACATATGGAACAAGCTACCATTGGAAGTACGAGCAAATGAGAAAGTAAGAAAGTTTAAAATGAACTTGGGAGCTTTCCCAACATGCAGAAGATAACGAAAACATTCGGCCTTCAAGTGTCTACAGATGTGTTAATTTCATCAGGTCCAAACAATAAATGACCAATAATGCAAGTTCACCACACTCGAGAATACATTAAATTTATGCTCGGAAATACCACTTGTAGGTGGAAAAACAAAAAAGTGTATCTTGTTTTATCACTCATTCGCATATTATAAATATTCTAATATCTTATGGTATCCGGATAATTTGCATCACTTAGTGTGTATTGAATGAGAAGCTAACTCATTACTAACGCTACCTGTTATTCTAAACTTCCGCAATATTTTATCAAACCCAATCTATGACTTCCCACAATGTCACAAAACATGCTATTTGGCTACTTATGTCGTTGGTATTTCTACCCCCTAATCTAACTATTTCATCATATTCCCCTGTTATTTTGTTGGTCACGAGTGGGCCGACCACCTGAAGCGATGGTTTGAAGCTTCTAAGCAACATGTATACCCACGTCAAAAGCCCCTGCTGAATAGAAAAAGTGTGCTGGAATTAAAAATAACAGTCCAGTCTGAACTGCTGAACTCACACTTAATGGCATATGAGGCCAACCGGTGATCCAGGTCATCATGCACGCAAAAGCTAAGAATGACGAAAGGACTGACTGGCTTGAGTAACCAGCTCACCACAAATAACAAGTGCCCAAATGATGGATAAAATCGGTAGTGGCCAGTGTGCTTTTAAACCACAACGATACATGACCAGATGGGGCGTGCATGTGTTAGTGAAATCTCTCGAGGGACTACCCAGCATGGAAGCAGGTCCCCGGGAGACGGTTCCACGTGTGATCGTATTACTTGTTCTTTCTTACCCTACTTCATTCTCCACTGAATCCGTTGTGCGCCTGGTTCCTAGTTACTTCATTCCTACTGTTCTAGTGTCTTATCGATATTTCCAATTAACTTATTCCTTAGATCATAGCCTCGCTCTTAGTTGTGGTGCATTTCCTCTATATCTCTACACCAAGAATCGGATAACCATTGCACACTTTCCTTATCACCCTCTCTTTGGCATCTTCTATAAGACTACGAGCCACTGAATAAGTCTTGGCTGCAGTGAATAGACGCTTATTTCTATGTTAATTTATCTCTTTAATTCTCCCTTTACAACATTACCTTTACCGTGTATAGTCAAGCACGTCCTAATTGTCCACCTACAAGTGAAGGCTGAAAGGAATGCAACTGTGCTCATCCAGCATCTCAACTATCCGGCAGCCCAAAACAGAATTTGATTAATTCAACTATATAATTAGACCAACAAATGTCCAGACACCGCTATTCCTTAAGTTCCTACGACTTGAATACTGTCCATAGTACTCTGATAAAGTAAGTTGAGTTTGATGATCCACTGGAGTTATCTTAATATAGTCCTTTCCTTATTTTCGCAAATCCTTAACTTGCTACTCACAAATAGCCCCAACTGTATTATTCCAGTCTATTAAGAAAGATTGTGTATTACTCATCTGATCTTGATTGGTGAATCTAACTGTTTCATCCTTTTCATACTCCCCCCTCCATCAAAGCGCCGTCATCATGGCACCACCAAGCTGCACCGAAAACAACCAAAGGAGAATGCCCACGAACTGGTAGTACACGGTGACAAAAGTCCCAAAGGAGAATATTCGCAAAAACATGTCGATTGTGACCCTGCAAAAACCCAAACAATCGGCAGCCTGCCTCGCATATCTTAGCATGTACCAATGTAAACATGATCCGGCCCTTTGTGGGCTCGGTTGCTCGGTACCACGAGAAATATACCTTATTATTATTATTATTATTATTATTATTATTATTATTATTATTACTGTCTTCCATCTATTCCAGTAGCGAGTGCTGTCCACATGAGTGAGGCGTATCAAAACCTAAAGCAGTTTTTGATTTCCAGCTGGCATTGTAATGATTACGACATGGTTGTTCTTCTAAGGAGGCTGCAGCTGGGCTACACAAAATACTGGCGTTTCTTGTGCGAGTGGGATAGCCGAGCAATGGAGTTGAACTACTTGCGGAAGGAATGGACTCGCAGATAAACTTGTACAGTTGAAGAGAAGAATATCTACCACTTTGCTATGGCAGAGGCTCAAAAAATCCTGTTACCACGCCTACACATCGAAGTAGGTTTGGTAAAAAAAATTCCGCGAAATCCATGGATACGAGCATAAAAAATTTCCTTGACTCAGCGAAGCAAACGTTACGAGGGGTTTTTGTTGGCCTTCAGATTCGAAAGATTTTCAAAGATGAGCAGGGTGATGTGAAATGCTTTTCGCCTAGTTTCCACTAACGTTCGCGGAAATGTTGGGGCACAAAACTATAAGGAACTAGTGGAAGTTTTGATGAAACTGTAACAGAAACTTGGCAGCAATATGCCTCAAAAAATCCATTCAAGATTCTCAGCTGGATTTCTTCCCTGGCAACTGCGGTTGGTTAGTGACAAACATTGCATACGCTTTCATCAACATATCTCAACAATGAACAATAGCACCAGGGGAAATTGTCCACTATCACTACGGTTGAAAACTGCTGGACACTCGCCAGAGATACTCCGGAAGTTCACAGGAGACAGATAATAAAATCGGCTCATTTTTTACAGGTATTAACCTTGTTAGATTAAAATTATTGCCATGCATTTGGTGATGTAAGAAAATTATTGTAGATTCCGAAAAAAATGGAGGCAATTTGTATAGATTGTGGTGTTTGTGTTAAGCACATAAACAATGATGATAATAATAGACTAATTTTATTCCAGTAACATGATTTTGGTTAAAAGAAATTTGTCCAGTGTAATTCTCCTGAAGCCAAGAAAAGCATAAAAAAGCCTTGAATAGCACATTCCGAACAGCAGTGCTCATAGCTGACCAGCAGATATAAGAATGACTAGCAATAGCCTTATTGATTCCCAGATAAACGCCCCGTGTTTTTCAGTAAAAATGTTACGAGCTGAAAAGCAAACATTTAACGAACCAAGCAATGTGCATCAAATGAAACCGTTGGTCCCAGTGGCCGAAGCGAACGTGGTTTCCCCAAAACAGAATCCATATTTAAACTGAGGGCAGATCGCGATCAAAACAAGGGGACGTGCATCGAAATCTTAAGTGAATTCCTAAACAGTGCGGTGCCCACTGCATGTTAAGCTATGTAGATTACAGTGTAGACATTTTCTGATAAAAAAATATCCAGGACTCGAAACGTAGCGGTGGAGATTTGGGCATGGAGAGTCCAAGCAAGAAGGCAAGTAATCACGAGTAAAAACGTTCTATTCCGGCTATGTTTCCAACGTTCGGGTTGACCGAGGTTTAACTCAGGTCGTGATCGAGTGTTAAAATTTAAACAATCAGTAGGCATGCAAGCCGATAACCGAAACGCTCAATTCATAGCAAAATATGAAAGAAAGTTTGCTTTGAAAAACGTAGAACGGTTGCATTATTGGGGAGACTAAAGAGTTATCTAGTGACGGCTGTGGGCTACAAGAAACGCATCAAACATGTCCTCTAAAACGTCCAAAACAGAGGCTAGAAACTGTTCACGTTGTTCCCATATTCCCGTAGGAAACCGTAAACGCTCTGTTGCCGTGGCCCCGAGTAGTAGTAGCAGAAAATAGAGCTGTTGGGAAGTGATGTAATGGATGCAGCAAAGTAAGATAAAACGTTCACGTACCTGAATTTCCAGAGGAACATGAGTAAAGTAGTTGACCGGCACAGCAGAAGCGTCGATTTCCTTGAGATAACTTGACCAATCGAAAAAACCAAATCCTGAAGGGTAAAAATTCGCTGGTGCTTAGGAACACTATACAGTATGAAGTAGCTTCACCTAATCTGGTGCAAGGCACATAAATTGCAATCAGCCAAACTTATTTACGGACTAATGTCACTAAGGACATGTTCGCAACTGATAAATCAGCAAATTATAAAATGGTAGGTGCTAAAAACGACCACAGAACTGTATAAATAGATAATTGGCGGAGAATATTAAGACAGATGCAACTATGTTGGAGCTGAACACTGCCGGTGATAAGAACTCGCTACCACTATAACCAAGCGAAATACTGTTGAACGCAAGAGGCAGAAGCAGGTTTGAAAAACGTTCTTAGTAAAACAACACTTGTAAAGAAAAATTTATTTACTAGACATGGGTGGTCTATGAGTAGTGGGCGCGAAACTGGCGTTGTACGTCCTGCAAACGCATGGCGAAAAACGTGGAAGAACACCACAAGTCAGAAAAATCACTTAAAATGTTCCCGATAAGTTGGAATAACTGCATCAGCTACAACAATGAAAAAGTAGCATGCGAAGAATGAAGGTTGAATAAATTGAAATCATATTTAACGTGTCGGGGTAAGCACTTAGGGTCATATCTGTTGTAAGCCATATATATATATATATATATATATATATATATATACTTATATATTTATATATGCCCCATGTTGAGTCTGATGCTGCATTCATGATGCTTCTTCACTGCAGTTGGGTTAAACCAACTTACACTTAAACTAGATCTTTTTAATATGGATAAAATTCATTCCACTTTATTCGGTTTGTTCTGCGTACTTGATAATCTTCTAACTTGCACACGTCGCTCATGCTAATTGTGGTAATCTTGCGTAACTTTATCACGTGGTAATCTTTTTAAAAACTTTCGGACATTTTTTACTTGTCGCGGATTCGCTTATAACCAATTTGCTCCACATGCTCATTTAGAGAGTATTTATGTCGTCCTATACATTTACTTTATTCGATATCGGCATTTCGAATGACTGGCTGTTGTTTGACATCCCAGGTGTGGCTGCGCTTGATGTGCATGTTGACAAGGTGCCCCTCTATTACCCACTACCTCGTCCATAATGGCTCCAGGAGACAACTGATCTTTCCTGGAGGGAAGGGGTGTACGGTAGTTGTGGCCGTGCTAGGCTCGAAGAGTGGTTCCATGCACTCAGTGTGGAGCTGACTACGGTCCATCCACCGCCTTGTGTGTGATTGATTCCCGAATAGAGCATGCTTGTGTTTGTCTGTGAAGGAGTGTGGGTCGACTCTGTTGATGTAACTTGACTTCCCTCCATATGTCTCCCGGTCTTATCCTTTCGGGTTTACACTGGATATGGAGTGTGTGGGTGGAAGTGTGGGTGGTGCAGCGCAAGCGACTCATGATCCCTCTGTAGGCGCAGGCGTCCTGTGGCTGGCCATAGTGACAGACAAATTCGAAACCGGATGCCGTCAACCATATATATATATATATATATATATATATATATATATATATATATATATATATATATATATATATATATATATATCATGCAACCGAAGTATTTCTAACAGCAAGCTCAGTGAGAGTGCATTCTCGTGGCTTCCCAAGACATATAAGTTGCGGTTTGGAAAGCCAATCGGAAAATAGCGAGCGGACAATGTTGCTCCGATTTTTTATGCAAATTGTAAAAGTGAAGCACCAGGTCCAAGTATAATTCCAATTATCTCGCTATTATGACGTTCATTGTGGAAAGTCGCCGTGAAAAGGCATTCGATGTGAGAGACGATGGGCCGACTATAAACTATGTTCAGATGTCTTTGAAACACTAATTTGAACATGGATAAGGCTTCAAAAGCTGCTGATAACAGGCCAATATTCCAGAAGGATCCATCGTCAATGTTAACCGGATTTCGCATAACCGGTCTTCCATGCACAGGATGATGTACATGTTATAACAGCCCGATTAATAGAGCTTCTGTAAGCCGGAGGATCTCAACAAGTCAGTTTGCAATCTACCAGGTTATAGTAATGGTGATGATCAGCTAATGCGGAATAATTGCGAGTACATATCCTCAAAAAAGTGAAAAACAGTCTTCCATTTTGTGTCGAGAACCATCAGCCATTTCACGGTTCCAAAATTGTAGGTCACGAAATCCTGTTTCAAATATTCAAAGTCGCTAATCCCGTTATCACATAATACAAGCCACAGGGCAGATAGACAGGAGTGACTTTCATTTAAGAATGTAAATTCACAAGAACAGTCCAAGAAAACCGGATAAAAGATGCGCACAGAAACCAGCTGGACGGTGCCACTAGGCACTGCATTTAGTTGCAAAAATTGCAACCTGACAGCGCCATATCCAAAAAGCTATATAGCGTTGTGTCAATTCCCTAGGTTAGTCAACTATTAAACTAAGGGTGGCAAGCAGACTCCAAAATAGATATTTTTTAAACTATGTTTCAAAACGAAAGGCTACGTGGCTTTTTAGGAGTGATGTTCAGTTGACTATGTGAATCCCCATCAGCAAGTGCGGACCATAATGAGATGTGCCTTAGTTAGAAAGTGGAAAAGCTTGATTACTAACCAAGTTAAAAATAACGATAAATAAATACAAACCGAAGGAGAACAGGGTGACTCGGAGGTAGCAATATACTGCCGCTAATTAAAATGATAGTTAAGTGTACAAACATCGATGCCCCATGGAAACGGTGCACTATGAGGGAACGGATGGCGAAACTTCGTTATAAGTCGTGACCGCAAACGAAATGCCATCAACACACATGCAAACACACCGGGCTGTCGGTTGGTGAGTCATGATTTGCTATTCGCAATGCACCCATCTATCACGTCCAACGTTTTCAATCCTGGCTGAACACCAGTCTCTTACTGAATAATACATATACACTACCCGTTTAGTGAACAAGACAAATGAATTTAATTCACAAGTCATTGGAGTTCGATTTACCACTGGGTTACTAAACAGACGTCACAAGTACCGTAGAAACCTTTTAGATTGATACACCCAGGCCACACAGTCTAAAAAAATGTGTGGGAATTTATACTTGATTAGCCCAACGCCATGCGTTCAATGTAGATGAGCACGGGAAGATGCTGAATTAAGTACTACGTTTCGCAGGGCGGTTGTGCCAGCGACAATGGATTATGAGCAGCGATAGTCGCCCCCGGTCACTTGGTGTTTCCGTCAATCGTTCCATCAAACTAACTACATGACGAACGCCTCAAAGATTCAACTGTCCAGTTCTTTCCTTTGTGGTAATCTGGCGATCAAAATTCAATCGAAATTTAGTTGAAATATTTTACCCTACAGCGGACAACATGGTTTAAGTTGACATGCAGCGATATTAATGGCCAATAAGTGTGAGTGACAACCAATTTTGACCGCGAACAAGCAGACTGTCAAAGTGTATTAAGAGCCGAGATAGCTGTTTCGTATTCCACTCGCTGGCGCAATGTATAACAAATTGGTCCGTACCTATCTAAAATTATAAGACCGTGGGACAGCAATAATGTTGGGACCGGCGAGAGCAACTCACTCAAGCGAATAAGTGATTCTTACTTGGCAACAAAGAATGAATGCTACAAGAGCGTGTGACCGGCGTGCGTGAGGCAAATCATCATATACAATTACAAAATTTGTAGGATGTGAATCCGAAGTCAGAGTTGTGGGTTCCACTAATTACGCTCCAAATAGGTAAAACTGTGTCGATGCTAACATAAAGCAAAAGTAGGGCTGCCAGAAAAAAACATAATAGCTGCCAGTATTTAGCGTGTTAAATTAGATGAACTTGTGATGCGATATTGAGCTGCGACAGTCACAACGGTCGCAGCCGACTGCAACGTGATGACTGTGCAACGGTCCATACACGTACACGTATAACGGATGTAAAAAGAAAAACTACGAGAATCCAGTAAATTATTATTTTACAGTAACGGGAACTCACTCGGTATCACAGACGCCATGCTTGCTTGGCGATCCTTTGGCTGGGCGGACACAGGTCCGGTATCCGATTCAACTGTTCGTTGTTTTCGAGGTCGAGCAACGTTGAGGGATTTATCGCTTCCCGCTGATCGCTCATCTTGTCCGCTTAATCCATGCATGTTCAGGGCTATTCTCATCGCGTCCAGTGATGTATCGGAGATACGTTTCCTTCCAGTTTCACCGTTAGCCAAAAGGGGCCGACATCGACCAGCTGCATTGGGCATTGCGACCCTTTCTGGATGTTTAAGACGAAACTACTTATGTAAGTAACATAATTAATATGAGAAATTTGAGAATTTGGTGAACGGGGAATATTTATTCAGAGCCAACTAAAGCAAGTAGGTATTTATCAGCTCTATATTGTGAACTGGAAATACTGACCGCACTTACCTTCAAGTGACTTTTTCGCTTTACGCATTTTGACAATTAGTCGGTAAATTAGGGTTCAGCGAACCGAAACAGATCATTTTTCCACAGCCGTTGGTGGTTAATAAACAAATGGTAGCGCCAGTTGACGAGGAAAAACTGTTTCACAGATAAACGCACGCCCGAAGAATACGCAGTGGAGATTCAAATTGCTGCAACCACATTAGGAATCGATAACTGGGCGCACACAGTCGGGTATAAATTATCGATGAGCACCGCTGTTGTTTAATGACGGTAACTCCGGAGATGGATGTGCATTCACTAGCACTGGCCTAGCAAGCTATCAGGTAAGGAAACAATCGATAGGTTGACGATTGCTCTGATCTGATGCGTCACGCGAAGGACCGTACACATGCAGAGTTGCCAGCTGCGTGCAAACGTCAACGCACAAACAAACCAAGTTTATGTGATGATTTTATCCAAAAGATAGACAATTAAAACAAGGCGCATACGATCAACCAATGACAATGCTATGAAGTGTGTCGCTGTATGTGCGCACGTGCGTGTTCTGATGCAGTAAAAGATGAAGAGACGTGAGCGTGTGGGTGCCGCATAGCGTATAGTGAGAGGCAGACATGCTGACCAGGATAAAACAATGAAAAGCCACTTTAGAGGGAAAAGTAAGACCGACTGACATAAAATAATCTGAATGGCTGAACTTGCCTGGAGCTTCGGAGACGTTAAGAGTAACTCTGTTGACGGACATAAGACAATATCTAGAAAACAACGGAAAGGTGTCATGACTCAATAACTTCCAGTTGGATGTAATCAGGGCGTGAAATGTGGCGCTTCTGATGGGTGAAAAAATTGCAGATAGTATATGATTAAATTCAAATAATGGTGTACCACTAGATAATAAATAATGACATGATAAACGATCACTTTTCGAGGCAAATTAATAGTTCATTTCTTAGGGATGCGTGTGACCATTCTCTCGTAGGGACAGATCAACAGCTAAATTATTAGAACTAACATAATTAGTAGTAGCACCTGCGATTAACTTCCGAGGATAATAGTAGCGTGTGCAACAGATATATTTCGGCAGATAGCGAAGATGGTGTAACCATTTAAGAAGGCATCATATGAAAAAGACCGCGTGCACATTTCCCTAATAAAAGGAAGGTAGGGGATTTGGCGATGAAGTATGAATTAAAGATTATTTCCTAGACGCAAGGAGGCGAAAATGAATATACAAACGGAAGAACGATTTAGTTCGATACAAAAGTAAGCTGAAACAAAAAATCGCTGATTCCAATACTGATGTAGAATGCAGGAAGCTGCGTGCAGAACATTATGGCTCCAGTATTATCCAAGTGTTGCAACTGAAGTCTACATAAGCAAAAAGTATCTGCTCTGAAATTGCAACAAATGTTTCACGAAAAACGTAGCGCAACATATCCCTCTGAAATCATACAAAATCATACAAAAAGGATAAGGGTGCAACAAAATATTTTTTTAACCGTAACTAACCCGGATGATCAGGCCGACTCACATCAACGCAGTGCGTTGTACAATATAATTCCTTAAATATGATTATTTTATATACCCCACCTTAATTATTTTCATTCATTTTCATGTGTGCATAATGCAGTAGAGTCGCTACTGTTACGAGTTAAATCATTCGACTTACGTAGACGGCTGAAAATCCCGTCAGGCCGGTGGTGCGGTCTTATCGACGTCGATAACAACACTAACAATATTAGTGGTCGCTTGCAAAATAGTTAATCATAAATGCGCGCTGAAAATAGGCCTTAATTTCCACTGGCTGTGCAAATTTTGGGGCGGCATCCATGTGTGTGCGTACGACTCGAGTTAGTCGATCTGAGCGACGCTAGCTTGTGCAGTAGGCGCCCGAGCGAGGGAGACGGAATTCTAGCAGCCAGCAGCAGGCCCGCTGACCTGCAAGTGCGTGCGTGCGCGTACGCACACAGTAAGGGTGGGGAACTGGCGATTGACAGACAGGCAGATGGCTGTGCCATGTGATGTATGCAACTTCGGCGGACAGACAGCCATAAGATTGGGTGACGTGTATATGCACATACGCTCGTGAACATAGGATATGGAGAGCACACAGACGCAGCAAACCATTCAAGTTGAAATGGGCCTCGTGAGAAAGATAAGCATACTGGTAGTTTTCATTGTTCACTGGTCCAGGGCTAAGCCCAGACGTATAGCAAAACTAGAGACAAGAATGGTCTCGGTAAGTGGCCTTGACTAAGACGGTCTCGAAATGAGTGAAGCGCTCATCGGGCGCGGTACTTCGATGAAAGATGATCCACTGACTAATCGGTCGATTGAGGCTGTTGCTGACCCCTTAATTTGAGTGCATTGGGAGGCCAAAGCTGTTCCACATCGTTATAGTTAACCTGTTTCAATCGACTTCCCAAGCTTTTACCGCATGTTCAAAGACGGGAAACATTTTGTTGTCATTCGACTGCATTGTGGGTCACATGGGTCTCAATGACAAACCGAAATGTGACCCGACATAAAATTTTAAATTAGTCACTGCAACTGCGATATTTCGTCATTTCTCATTATAGCAGAGGGTGAATTTTCGAGTTATGCTTGACACAATAATGATGTAGACACCGAGGAAATTATTGAAGATACCTATATAAACGATGTCAGAGATTCATCAGGCGTAAAACCACTAGCCGAGAGAAAAAATGGTGAAGTACAACAGTACGGATTGTTAAACTATATATGTGGCCGGATATCGATGTTTAGTGCAAAGATGTGGCTCACCTTGTTCATTGGGACCCGGGGTAACCTAGTTCATGCGACAATCTTTTTAATACAAACTGTTCATATATTTTAGTGCTGCGTAAGCCAGGAAATTTCCAATTGAACCGTCACGAACGTTACCTGAATGCTAATGGAGACCACACAAGTCGATAAACTGACCAGCCAATTTTTTCAGTATTAAGTGTTCCCAGTATTTGGGGTGAATAAACCAACGCAAGTGAACAACTTGGAAGCGCATCAGACCAACTCCTTATGTGAAACTGATGCCAGTACTTGCGAAAAATATGCTTAGACCCAACTGGGCAACTACAGCACCAGCAGAGGAAGAGTATGCAGTGGAATAATTTATATAGCTTACGCAAATAACCATCGGAGAACTTACAGAGGTATGCGAATTCAGGGAACCAGTAAAAATTTTTTAAGTTGCGTTCCATCATTGTGTAGAATAAATAATACTACTACTATTCTCTAATATATATATATATATATATATATATATATATTACTCTGATGAGATGAGCGAGTTAAGCAACTCCCTGATAACCGGCGAGGGAAGAATGTGTATGTGGTGTTATGCACTCGGCGTGGAACTAATAATAGTCAACTGTCGGTTATAAATACATCGGTAATCATTTTTCACCAACCTTAAAAATTGCCCCAGTTTGAACTCACCGTTCTGTTAGCAGGGTGTATCTACATTTTGGGCTCCACTCGAAAAAGTCGAGATTACCTGCCGTCATTGGTTGCGACTATGGAACCATTTACATCAGTCGTCATAGGGAGCGCAGTTCCCACATGCCTCCTCTATGTGCGTTAAACTATTTTCCGTCCGACAAAGCGGGTTTACACGGTCGCGTCGAGCTGTTCGATGAATAGTTGAACTGACCTTTGACCGCATCTGCCCTAAGCTGTAACCCATTTCATTTAGGGTGACCCAAGCCGGTTGAGTGAACAAACGTCTAACACGCCAAATGTGATTTTCTGGACACTTGTGGACAGGCAACACCATTTTCTTTGGTGACCGAATTAGGTATTTCCGCACCTTTTATAGACAAAACAACAAAGCTGACTGGACTTAGACATGTGCTAAATAACCAGGAATGTTTCGAACCTGGCAAATTTCGCTCTGTGATAAATACTTGCGCACGAATGACGTTGTATGTTCCTCCATTGGATGACACGTAGAGTATCCCCTTTGATTGATCCTGGGTCATTCTTTCGATTGTAAATTGAAGATCTATGTTAAATTTGTGGAATATTATATCATGCCGCCAACTATATGTTTCGCGTACATTTTTAAATCTTCCGTTTACCGCCGCCCATCATGGTACCTTCTGTCCTCCTGATGAAACCAGTTGTTGGTGTATCTCAGTTTTGGGAAACTGCATTTCACACCAGCCTACGTAATGGACGGATTTGCGTCTGTTGCCTGGAAGTATAGGAACTTGCAATCCTTACACTGGCGCTTATGCTCAAGCGGAATCAAACTTGCCGAATTATTCTACCTGCACGCGCTCATTCCGATAAAGCTGAGTCACGGACACGGGCAAATTGGGTAGTAAATTTATTCTGTACAGCGATGGAACACGTTTAAATTTGTTACTGGGTTCTTTGCATTCACAGACCTCCGTAGGTCATATATATATATATATATATATATATATATATATATATATATATATATATATATATATATATATATATATATATATATATATATATATATGGCGACCACCTTTCCAAAGCGACCACTTTTTGTCGGCCCATTTAGTGGTCGCCTTAGACAAGTTTGACTGTATATTCAGCGTTGATGTGTTCTCGAGACCAGAAGCTAACCATTGTTTCGATTAACACACACGCAAGAAAATCGAGCCGAAGGAGCGTCATATTTGAGAAATGTCAGTAAGCCAGATATTCAAGCGCAGACCTCCGCTAGTGGGTGCTGCCATGGAAAGAACTCACTTACTACAATTGAATCAGTTGCAATACTCTGAACTAAATAAATGTTTTATTTTCGGCAGTGCGAGAATAAAAAATGCTCAGTCTTACTCTGGGCTCCAAAGAGGTTTGCTGATGTACCCGAACGTATTCCATAGAATAAAGCAAACGGCGCAGGTTACGGAAAGTTTCGCTGCGGCAAAGCATCCAGACGGTAGATGACTATATTTAACTTATGGCAAACTGTATAATAAACACTTCATTTACCAACAACAGCCAAGCACATGGAATGCAAAAACGGTGAAAGCTACTTCTCAATCGGATCCTATTAAAATCGGTTAACGACAACGACCGAGAGCCTATCCTAAAAATGTGTGACAAATAACGGAACTTACACAACTGATCCCGGAACTTGGAGGAACGGTCCCGGCCGCGGCCATGCCCACGACATTCGTTCAGCGGCTCATAGGCTCCGTGACCTTGAGGAGATAACCAACCACGACCAAGTGACTCAAACGCTATTGGAGAGTGTGGGTGCCAGATCGATCTGCGCCGCTGACCTTATGGAACCAACCTATCAAGCCAGCGATTTTTTGACGGCGTAACGTTCTAAGACCGGGGTTTGTGCGTAAAGCGGCGGCCTTCGACCTGTCAGGGAATCGACTAAATTGACACTGTTTAGCAGAAATCGTCAGAAATTTGAGTAGTCCTTCCGACTCTTTGGG